CCTTAGCCGGTTGAGCTATAGGCGCCGAGCCCCTAATTTTTTTTTTTTTAAACAATCTAATAAAACTAGTTTTAATGTTTGGCTTAGTGTTGTTTTAGGAGTATAATTCTGTTTGCTGAGGATTGCTGAGGTCACAGCTGGTAAGGAAACTGTGAGGGTAGTGGTTTCTAATTTAGTAAGTGGGAGGTCTACCTAGGAGAATAGAGGCAGTACCAAGTGAGCCCTGGTCTGAGTCAGCTCTCAACCTTTGGTGTCTTCTTTTTTTTTTTTTTTTGAGACAGAGCGTCGAGCTGTCCCCCTGGGTAGAGTGCCTTGGTATCACAGCTCACAGCAACCTCCAACGCCTGGGCTCAAGCGAGTCTCCTGCCTCAGCCTCCCAAGTAGCTGGGACCATAGGCGCCTGCCATAATGCCCGGCTTTTTTTTGGTTGCAGCCGTCATTATTGTTTGGCGGGCCCAGCCTGGATTTGAACCTGCCACCTTAGGTGTATGTGGCTGGCGCCCTAGCCACTTGAGCCACAGGCGCCAAGCCAGTGTCTTCTATTTATTTTATTTCATTTCATTTTATTCCATCTTTCCCCTTCCCCTGCCCTTCTCACTATGTTGCCCATGTTGACCTTGAACTCTTGAGCTCAAATGATTCTCCTGCTTTGGCCTCCCCAGTAGCTGGGATGCTATAGGTGCGCTCCATCCCCCAGCCTCATATTTCCCTCTCTTCTGCAGCTGTGCGTGGCTTACATGCCTCAAGGCAGTGCCTTTCCATTGCATGAGAGGCAACATAGCAGAAAAGATAAAAGTATAGTCTTGTGCTTAGTACTCAAAACCTCTGCCTCTGTCTATGAAATGGGGACACAAGGGTCTCCTGACCCTAAACCTCCCTTTGGGGCAGACTGAATAATTAGCACAAGGAATGTTAACATAAGCTTGGCACATTGAGTGTCTCCAGAAAGGGTGATGCTGGCAACACTGCCTGAGGGTTATCCAGGTCACAACCTGAGGCCCTGCACTCAAAAGGACTTGCCATTTAGGCTCACACATTAGTCAGGCCTAGGCTAGATAGAGACAGAGTTATTTCAGTGGTCTGAGTATGAGTCCTGGTGCTTGTCCTTTTCTTGTTCTCTGGACCTGTGGAAGAATGGCCTTTGACCTCCAAGGCTGCAGTCAATGTTGGAGCCTGAGCTGGCAGTTGTTTTGTCTTCCTGCCTGTGGCTGCTTAAAGCACTGGGGCAATGCTCTCCCCTTAAGATAATATGAGCAGAAGTATCCTGAAATGGGTAGGATTTGGGGTTAGTTACTATTTTTACATCATTAGCTTTTTCAGAAAATCAAGAAATGTCTGAGTGTCCAGGAACATTTCCAGAGGACGTAAAGACCAGAAAAGGACTGTATCATGTGCTGCAGAGACCTTGTTTCAGTTAGGAGTACAGGCAGGCCTGTTTGAATCTGCAGCACAAGGTTGTTATAACCTTTGCGAGAGCAGATTCAGGAGGGTAGACTGAGGCGTGGGTGGGTTGGGGTGGGGGTGCGGGTACTCATGACCATGGGGCAGAGGGACAGCCAGAGCCAAGGGAGACAGGAATTTACCTCCAGTGCTGTGTGTGGGCTTTTTGTTTTACAGGTTGGAATGAGGTGAAAATATTTAAGAGCTGATGTGGAGGATTCAATTGAAAATACAGGGAAGGAGTTGGTCCTGCCTTGCAGGGGGAGGGCCTGACTTAGCATGGTGCCTCTGAGGTGTTTTCTTTCTGTTATTCTGTAATATTTTTCTCTGGTCTTGAATTTGCTGCTCAGAACTTTGGTGCCTTCTGTAGGCACCTTTGCTTTTGAGTAGAGGGACACTATGGTCAGTTGTGATTTTTGCAGGTTGTCTTGCTGTAGTGTCTGTGATGACCTGGGCAGGTGGGGTCTCAGAGGGTCCTGGGACTGCTGCCTGAGCGAGCGGATGGGGCATCCATATCCACATTGTTACATGTTTTCTTACTTTTCACATTAATAAGCCAAGAGTTACAGTATTTTAGAAATTTTAAAAGTGTTAGATTCATAACCATAGCTAAAATTTGAGAGTCTAGTATACATCAAAAATGGTGCTAAATAATTAACCCTCGCACAACTTTGTACTTGGTGCCTCATACTCTAAAATCTAGATGTATTCTAATTGCTTGACAGAAAAGTCATACATTCTGATATAGTCATTTGAAATGAATTTTCTTGAATGTATGTATGTATTCAAGAAAATATAAGAATTAGTTTCTTTTTGGCTATGCTCTAGAAATTTTGCTTAGGCTGTCTTCAAGATCACAGTAATAGTAACAAAATGATAATGAAGGCATGAATTACCAAAACCTGTAGGATACTGCAAAGGCAGTCCTCAGAGGGAAAGTTATATAGCATTGGAAGCCTTCATCAAGAAAACAGAAAGATAGGGTGCCAATAACTTAATGGGTCATCTCAAGCAACTGGAAAAGGAAGAACATTCCAACCCCAAATCCAGCAGAAGAAAAGAAATAACCAAAATTAGAACAGAATGAAATGAAATTGAAAACAAAAGAATCATTCAGAAGATCAACAAATCAAAAGGTTTTTTGAAAAGATTAACAGAATTGATAAACCTTTGGCTAACCTAACCAGAAACAGAAAAGTAAAATCCCTAATATCTTCAGTCAGAAATGAAGGAGAAATAACAACAGACACCTCAGAAATTCAAAAAAATCCTCAATGATTATTATTTTCAGAAATGATTATTTTCAGAAATATGAAAACCTGGAGGAAATGGACCAACATCTGGAAGCACACCATCTTCCTAGACTCAGCCAGAAAGAACTGGAAATGTTGAATAGACCTATATCAAGTACTGAAATAGCATTAACTATAGGAAATCTCCCAAAAAAGAAATGTCTGGGACCAGATGGCTTCACATCAGAATTCTACCAAACCTTTAAAGAAGAACGAGTACTATATAACATAACCTTTTCCAAAATGTAGAAAAAGAAGGAATACTTCCCAACTCATCCTATGAAGCAAATAACACCTTGATCCCCAAACCAGAAAAGGACCCAACAAAGAAAGAAAACTATAGACCAATATTATTAATGAATATCTGTGTAAAAATATTCAATAAGATCTTCGCAAACAGAATTCAACAGCACATCAAAAAAATTATACACCATAATCAAGTTAGTTTTATCCCAAGGTTACAAGGCTGTTTCAACATACATAAATCTATAAATATAATACATAAATAAAAAGCAAAGACCATATATTTCTCTCAATTGGTGCAGAAAAAGCTTTTGATACAATCCAGCATCCTTTCATGATCAGAACACTTAAGAAAATAGGCTTAGACAGGTAATTTCTTAAACAGATAGAGACCATCTACAGCAAACCCACAACCAATATCATAGTTAATGGAATGAAAGTGAAAACGTTTCCACTCAGATTGGGAACTAGGCAAGGATGCCCACTGTCTCCACTGCTGTTAAACATAGTGATAGAAGTCTTAGCCATTGCAATCAGGCAAGAGAAGGCAATCAAGGATATCCAGATAGGGTGAGAGGAGATCAAAGTCTCATTTTTTGCAGATGACATGATCCTATACCTGGAAAATCCCAGGGATTCAACTACAAAACTCTTAGAAGCGGTCAAGGAATACAGCAGCATCTCAGGATACGGAATCAATACTTAACAATCAGTAGCTTTTATATATACCAACAATAGTCAAGCTGAAAATATAGTCAAGGACTCTATTCCTTTTATTGTAGTGCCAAAGAAGATGAAATATTTGTGAATTTACCTAACAAAGGATGTGAAAGATCTGTATGGAAAGAATTATGAAATTCTGAGAAAAATAGCTGAAGATGTTAACAAATGGAAAAATATACCATGCTCATGGCTGGGAAAAATCAACATTGTTAAAATGTCCGTATTGCCTAAAGCAATATACAGATTTAATCCAATCCCTATTAAGGCACCATTGTCATACTTCAAAGATCTTAAAAAAAATAGTACTTTGGCTTGAGGCCATAGTTCAGTGGGTAGGGTGCCAGCCACATACACTGGGGCTGGTGGGTTCGAACCCAGCCAGGGCCTGCTAAACAACAATGGCAACTGCACCAACAAAAAAAATTAGCTAGGCGTTGTGGCAGGCACCTGTAGTCCCAGCTACTTAGGAGGCTGAGGCAAGAGAATCACTTAAGCCCAGGAGTTTGAGGTTGCTGTGATGATATAATAAAATCAGTACTTACAATCAGTAGCTTTTATATATACCAACAACAGTCAACTCTGTTTAACAAAATTGATAAACCTTTGGCTAACCTAACCAAAAACAGAAAAGTAAAATCCCTAATATCTTCAATTAGAAATGATAAAGGAGAAATAACAACAGATACCTCAGAAATTCAAAAAAATCCTCAATAATTACTATAAAAAATTCTATTCTCTGAAATATGAAAACCTTCTTTGACATTCTGTCTCAGAAAAACAAAACTATTACTTCATTTTATATGGAATCAGACAAAACCTCACATAACCAAGACATTAGTCAGAAATAAAAACAAATCAGGAGGTATCATGTTACCAGACATCAGGCTATATTATAAATCTATATTGATCAAAACAGCATGGTACTGGCATAAAAATAGAGAGGTAGGTATATGTAACAGAATAGATAACCAGGAGATGAACCCAGCCACTTATCATCATTTGACCTTTGATAAGCCTGTCAAAAGCATTAGTTGAGGGAAAGACTCCCTATTTAAAAAATGGTGCTGGGTGAACTCACTGGCGACCTGTAGAAGACTGAAACTAGACCCCCCGCCTTTCACCCCTAACAAAAATTGATTCTCACTGGATAAAAGATTTAAACTTAAGATAACAAACTATAAAAATGCTAAAAGGGAGTGCAGGGATAATGCTTGAAGAAATTGGCCTGGGAAAATATTTTATGAGGAGGAGCCCCCCCCCCCAGCAATTGAAGAAACACTCCAAAATATATTACTAGAATCTGATCAAACTAAAAAGCTTCTGCACAGCCAAGAGCACTGTAAGTAAAGCCAACAGACAGCCTTCAGAATGGGAGAAGATATTTGCAGGTTATGTTTCTGACAAAGGTCTGATAACTGGAATATGCAGAGAACTCAAACTAGTCAGTAAGAACAGAACAAATACCCCATTTCTTTGTGGGCAAGAGACTTGAACAGAAACTTCTCTGAAGAAGACAGATGCATGGCCTGCAAACACATGAAATAATGCTCAGCATCTTTAATCATCAGAGAAATGCAAATCAAAACCACTCTGAGATATCATCTAACTCCAGTAAGATTATCCCATATCACAAAATCCCAAAACTACAGATGCTGGTGTGGGTGTGGAGAGAAGGGAACTCTTCTACATTGCTGGGAATGCAAGGTAATATGGCCTTTTTGGAAAGAAGTTTGGAGAATACTCAAGGAACTAAAGGTAGACCTGTGGTTCAATCCTGCAATTCCTCTACTAGGTATATAGCTAGATAATCAAAAATCATTTTATAGTAAAGACATTTGCACCAGAATGTTTATTGCACCCAATTCATAATTGCCAAGTCATGGAAGCTGCCCAAGTGCCTACTGACCCGTGAATGGATTAACAAATTGTAGTATATGTATACCATGGAATATGATGCAGCCATAAAAAGATGGAGACTTTATTACTTCTGTGTTTATTTGGATGAAGCTGGAACATACTCTTAGTAAAAAGTATCTGAAGAATGGAAGAAAAAGTATCCAGTGTACTCAATACTAGTATGAAACCAATATATAATCATCTATACTTTCATAGGAATGATAAAACACAATTATAGTCGAGAAAGGAGAGGGCATGGGGGGGGGAGGTTGGGAGGAAGGAGGGTCTTTTGTGGGACCTCACCTAATGTATACAATGAAAGGGTATTTGTCAAAACTATTAAGAGTATAAATGTCTTATCACAACAAAAAGTAAGCGAGGTAAAGGTTATGTTAATCAGTTTGATGTAAGCATTACAAATTGTATATAAAATCAACACATTGTATCCCATAAATGCATTAATGTACACAGTTATGATTTAATAAAGAAGATCATAGGAACAATAGGTCACTTCCTTCTGCCTGTGCTTTGCATACAGTTTTGGAAGATATGCCCCATGGAGCATATTTTGGTTCGTCTGGAGACTGATTCCCGACCTGTGTCTCGGCGCCTGGTGAGCCTCATATTTAATTCCTTCTTGCCTGTGAACCAGCCGGAGGAGGTCTGGTGTGAGCGCTGCGTCACGCTGGTGCAGATGAACCCTGCAGCTGCCAGGAAGTTCTATCAGTATGCACACGAGCACACGGCCTGCACCAACATAGGTACTGGGCCCTGCTGTGTCTCAGTTTCTGTTATGTTTCCCTGCAACGCATGATATACTTTACTTTTAAATTTTTATGAGTATATTTTTGAAACCAAGTCTTACTCTGTTCCCCAGGCTAGAGTGCAGTGCATGGTTCATTGCAGCCCCAAACTCGGGGGCTCAAGTGACCCTGCCTCAGCCTCCTGAGTAGCCAGGACTACAGGCGCCAACCACAATAGCCAGCTAATTTTTATATTTTGTAGAGACCGAGTCTCGCTGGGTTGCCCAGGCTGGTCTGGAGCTCCTGGTCTCAAATGATCCTCCTGCCTTGGCCTCCCAGAGTGCTAGGATTACAGGCATGAACCACTGCCTGTGGCATGAAATACGGTGTATATTTGGTGCTTGTCTTGTTAATATGCTTCATGCTTTATGCATTTCTTTAATGATTGTCCTTGAAATAATGCTTTCAACTATTCAGGATTACAATTTTACCATTAGAAAGTTAATTTTATAGAAGAAACACAAACTAATTCTTGATTATTTTAAATGTTTTAGCAAAGTTGATTCATGTTATTCGCCATTGCTTGAACGCCTGCATCCAGAGGGCAATGAGAGAGCCCCAGGTGGAGGACAGTGGTTGTGGCGGCGAGAAGGAGAACGTGAGCGTGAGTAGACTGGCCTGGGTCCAGTGAGCATGAGCATAGTGACATCCTTTTTATGCCCCTTATGTTAGGGATAGTTTTATTTTCCATTTATTCCTTTAGTGTTGTTATTTAAACAAATACAATGGAACCTCCATGGCTAATACTTCTTCATACTCATCACCTCCCTGAGTTGCCCTAATTCTCAAAGATGGGACATATACCACATGTGCATGTCAGTGCAGCAACCTTGTTCCTTATGGTGACCACCTCCATATGCTGACCGGTTTGTGACTGTCCTGGGGTGGTCAACTTACAGAGATTCTACTGTAAATTTTAGATGGTCATAGATATTTTTGAAAGAATTGCTATTTGCCTTTTGGAGTTTGGGTGGGATTTAATACAGGAGAAAAAACTTTTCTGTGTATTTTGCCTCAACCCTGGGTGTAGCAGACTTGGATTGCTTCTGGACTTTTCTGTGATGCGTAGTTCGGTGGGTGTGCTGTCCTCAAAGCCACTGCCTAAGATCATTCTGGAATCAACCATTCTCCAATTTATATCAGAAGGAAACAGCGTTTAAGACTAAGACATATGGCTCGGCGCCTATAGTTCAACCGGCTAAGGTGCCAGCCACGTACACCTAAGGTGGCGGGTTCGAATCCCCAGCCCAGACCCGCCAAACGACAATGATGGCTGCAACCAAAAAAAAAAATGGCCGGGTGTTGTGGCGGGCGCCTGTAGTCCCAGCTACTTGGGAGGCGGAGGCAGGAGACTCGCTTGAACCCAGGAGTTGGAGGTTGCTGTGAGCTGTAATGCCACGGCACTCTACCCAGGGGGACAGCTTGAGGCTCTGTCTCAAAAAAAAAAAAAAAAAGACTAAGACATACTTATTATAAGTGGCATCTTAAGCTTATCAATGAACGCTTAACGCTTATAGATATCTAAGGAATATTTCTGGATCATTTTTCAGTGTCTATCCACATTAGAAAACTGGACTTTAAAAGAAAATAGTAAGTTGAGTGCTGTAGTTCAGTAGTTAGAGCTCTGGCCCTGCAAACCAGGGGCTGCGAGTTTGAGCCTTGCCTGGGGCTTTATAATACTTTAGGTCAACTTCTGAACCATTAGAAAAGACAAATGTTTAGAGGTGTGTAGTTCCATTGTATCCTATACAAAAAGAAAAACATTATTTGTCACACAGATGTTCTCATCCTGGGTTACAGCTGTGCTGAAAACTATTTGAGGAAAGATGCACTTTGTCACTGAAGTGTTCTTATTCTGCAAGCATTTGTGTGGCTTCCAGCACACGTTTTTAGAGAGGCTCTTTTTCTTGCTGCTGTTTACTAAAAATGAAAGGTGTTCTCTGCTAAAATAAACACCAGGCCTCATCACTTAGGAGTCAGCATATTTTTCAGGTGGTGCTTGTAGGGGGAGGGGGCTTCCTCATGAACTCAGTGATGAGGCTGCTGTGCCCAACCCAGAGCAGCAGGAGACACTCTGGGTTCAGAGTGAGCACCTTTGTCATTGGGGTGTTTGTATTGCTTTTCCAGCAATGGCTAAATCATTAGCAATTTCTCTGTTTTTATATGTGATTGGCAGTAACTCATTTCAAAGCATTAAGTGTATGTTGAGTTATCTGGCTTTATATAGAAACAGTATTTGTTGTTTTCTGTACCCTTGTCAGTCAAACTTGTTTTTCTTTCTACTATCGTTTCCTGTTAACATTTGAGTAGATAGCACAAAAACACCAAAGCCTGAAGTGAAATCATCTTTTTTGTGTCATGGCAGCTCCTTTTGGGAAGTTGCACATGTTGGTTACTCAGCAAAGGACAGTCACTGGCAGATCCTCAGAGGGGCTGACGACAGGTATTGCCAGTGTGTGTCCGTTCCTGGTGACTGGCACGCGGCCACTGTGGAGCAGCTCTAAATGGATGAGGGATTGGTTAGGGAGTGTCCAAATTAGGGGTGATTGCCATGTACCACCAGCACGTATTCAGGAAGATGTAAGGAGATATATTTCTTTAAAGCAAACCATAGGTGCTTTTGTCCTAATCTATTTATTTATTTATTGAGACAGAGTCTCAAGCTGTCACACTGGATAGAGTGCTGTGGCGTTCTTAGCTCACAGCAACCTCCAACTCTTGGGCCCAAGTGATCCTCTTGCCTTAGTTTTTCTATTTTTAGTAGAGACAGATTCTTGTTCTTGCTCAAACTGGTCTCAAACTTGCTCAGGCTGGTCTCCAACTCGTGACTCAAGCAGTCCACTCACTTGGGCCTCCTAGAGTGCTAGGATTATAGGTGTAAGCCACCAAGCCCAGCCTGTCCTAATCTTTAGACTAGGCGTCCTCAAACTACGGCCTGCGAGCCACATGCAGCAGGCCTAGGGCATTTATCTGGCCCACGGGGTGTTTTTGCTGCTGCTGCCTGTCCTACTTAGCAGCTGACTCGTCTTGGGGCCTGCAGTCCGGCCCTCCAATGGTCTGAGGGACAGTGAACTGGCCCCCTGTTTAAAAAGTTTGAGGACCCCTGCTTTGGACACTGTAAACAGGGTGGACTTTTAAAAATAAATTTACTTCTCCGGTAAGAGATTCTAGTAGAGATTCTCAAGTAGGGATAAAGTTGCATTATGACAAGTAAATTGACTTGATATTCTTCACATTTATGCTTTTTGTCTCTAATTCTGAGATATTCTTTTAAAGATAGTGCTGTTATCTTTTAATAATTATTAAATAGAATTAAATTGTTCCACAGCAAAATTATTTCTCTCTTAGGTTCTAGACAAAACTCTATCCGTAAATGATGTTGCATCCATGGCAGGCTTGCTGGAAATCATCGTGATTCTCTGGAAGAGCATTCACAGGAGCATGGAGAACAACAAGGAGGCAAGAGTCTATACCATTAACAAGTTTGCCTCTGTTCTCCCAGAGTACCTCAAAGTCTTTACGGTAAGTCTGGGATCACTCTTGCAGACAAGATATGTCCCGATGGGTTTGTTCTGAGTTTAGCAAGGATTCTGGGGTCTGTCACCACCTATGGAGTGGGCAGGGTGGGCACCAGCTGTCCCTGCTTCGTGCCTTCAGCACTCAGAGAAACATCTGGGGTGCACTCTCAATTCCTTTGTCTTTAATGGTTGGTGGTGACGCTTCAAAATCCAGCTTGATTTGTGGGAGTGTGACAAAGGATTTTGTGAATGTGAAGGTGCAGGGCCATGCCCAGTGCTGGGCGGTATCTGAGGGCCCTGTTAGCAGTTGTGTTCCTGAAGAAAGCAAGTTGTGTCTGTGTTGTCAGGCAAACAGAGCCGTGTTTGTGGTTTATTTTTATGAAAAAATTTATTTTTTATTTTTTATTGATAAAAACTATATATTTATTGTATTCAAAATGATGTCTTGAAATATATGTTTTGTGGGTTGACTCGACTCACACAATCAAGGCACACATCACCTCACACTCTTGCCTTCATCTGGAGACCTGTGTTAGTGGTTCTCCAGAGTGTTTCTGTCTGTGATCTCTAGCGCTAGGTCCCTAAGGTCTCCTTTCCCTCTCAGGCGGTTGTGTCCTGGGCACCTCTAATCTCCCCGTGCCGATTTCCACACAGGCAAAGGGGACTTTCTCATGCTTTGACCTGTTTCTTCTGAAGGAAGTTCATATTTGAAAAGCAGATTTAAAAAAAGATTTAACAGGTAAAACTATAAGTTTATTCCCAACAATGAAGAAAGCATAAATACAGAGGCCATGGATCTTAGGAACCAACCTGTTCGCAGTGCCCTTCTCAGCCCCCTCCTCCCCCCCGGTGTGACTTTGGGCTTGTTTCTGGGTCATGTCTCTGAGATGAAAGCATGACCTGTCTGCGAAGGTAAAGCATTTTAATTCTTACCGGTAAACCCTTGCTTTACCGGTAAGAATTTACCAGTAAATTAAAAAGCTCAAATAAGTACTTTGGGGCTGAGAAACTAGCATTATTCCAGAATCTCAGAGGAAGTGCAGAAGCCCACATAGGACAAAGGAGGGTTGGCAAATGGGCAGTGTGGTCCTGGGGGCCTGAGTTGGGGACACAGTTTGGTTACTTGGAAGGTTTCAGGGAAAAGGCATTGTAGCCCCTGGAAGGTCAGAGAACATTGCGTCCTCCACATATAGGGTGATGTAGGCCTCCCCCACCATGCACTTGGCTGTGAATCTCAGTTGACTTGTGACATTGAGAAAAGGAAATATTTTCTTCCTTTATCAGGAGTTGAGGGTCAGGGCCAGTTTGCTATAACTAAATAGAAATTAATTACAGATATATTTTGATTTGGGACTTGTTTCTGTATAATGTATAGTTTTTGGAAAATAGTTAAGTTTTTTCTGTCTCCTTTACAATCTACCATTTCCTCTTTCTCCCAGACAAGACTTTTTTTTTTTTTTTTTCTTTTGTAAAGAAATAGGGCCTGGCTCTTTAACCAGGCTAGAGTGCAGTGGCATCATCATAGCTCACTGCCACCTTGATCTGCTGGGCTCACGGGGTCCTCCTGCCTCAGCCTTCCAAGTTGCTGGGACTACAGATGCATGGCACCACACTGGCTAATTTTTTTATTTTTTGTAGAGACGGGGTCTGGCCATGTTGCCCAGGCTGTTCTTGAATTCCTGGCTTCAGGTGAACCTCTTGCCTTGGAGTCTCAAAGCACTGGGATTGCAGGCCTGTGCCATTGTGTCTAGCCAAGAATATTTCTTATGGAGTATTCTTGATGGAGGTTGAACCACTTTTTACTATACTCTTGTGGTAATAGTAATATGACTATAATATATTGAGTACTTAGCCAGTGTGTGGCCCTGTGTCAGGGTTTAGTTTGGTACCACCCACTCACTTCTTCCAGCACCTCTGTCCAGTCTGCAAAGGAAAAGTGAGTGCAGCCCTTCCCTCTGTGTGAGGCCCCCACCAGGTGGCAGAGTCTGATGGGTGTAGATGGTTTGGTGGCTCCCCGGCCTGTGCCTTCCTCATTATACTAGACTAAATATGTTTTCCAAAGATATTCTGGCTCATTTCATAAAATTTTCTCTGAATGGTTTTTTCTCTTGAGTTTTATGTTCAGGATACCAAGTGTATAATTAGTTTTTCAATGAACTCATTTCCATGGCAGTGTGAAATTTCATCTATTCTCGTTATTGATGTATTCCTAGGATCTAGATTCGTTGGTACGTAGTACACAGCAGGTGCTTAAGAAATACTTGGGAAGTTGAAGAACGTTGTATCAAACCTGGTGAACCTTGTCTAGAGCTTTTCTCTGCTCTGGAACATAAGGCTCAAGTTTTCCCTTTGAACATTGAAAGGCTTACTATAGTTCTTACTGAGCAGTTTTGAAAATAAGTCATTAGGAAGTTATGCAGGGAGGCTTTCTATGTTTCCTAACCTATAAATATGCTTTGTTTGTTTTCCTTTTTATGTTCACAGGATGATCGCTGCAGGATACCTCTATTCATGCTAATGTCCTTCATGCCTGCGTCAGCTGTCCCTTCGTTCAGGTATTTGCTGTTTCTTATATAGCAGTAAAGCCAGACCCTAGGTGATGTGTGCAGTCAGTGGATGCTGAGTGCAGTGCTTAGCTCCTTGCTGCTGCATTCTGTCCTCCCCTCCACATGGTACAGAAAGGAGGATGTGGCACTGAAACTGCTACTTCATTCTAAGGTCTGTGGGATTGTGCTTAACACCTGGTGTGAAAATGTGATGTACTGTGAATACTGAATACACACAGAGTTGGAGCCTTAGTGTGAAAAGAAGCATGTAAAATTCTGACATTAAAATTCATTTTACCTGTTTCTCTTAAAATGTGAGTACTAGAAAACTTCAAACTGTATATATGGCTTACTTTTGTGGCTGTAATATTTTTGTAGGACAGTGTAGCTCTAGAGTGTTGGTTATTATCAGTAAAATTTGTCTCTATTCATATTTATGAAAAACATGAATGCTTATGATGTTAAATAGGAATTGTACCCCAAGATTAGGAACTCTAGTTCTAAAATCTGACAGGGTGTGGACTCGGTACCCGTAGTACAGTTGTTATGGTGTCAACCACATACACCAAGGCTGGCAGGTTTGAGAATGTCTTGGGCCAGCTCAATAATGACATTGCAACAACAAAAAAATAGCCGGGCATTGTGGCAGGTGCCTAATAGTCCCAACTACTCGGGAGACTGAGGCAAGAGAATTGCTTACAACCAGAATTTGAGGTTGCTGTGAGCTGACACCATGGCATAGTGAGACTGTCTCAAAAAAAAAGAAATAGAAGGGTGTGGGGGTTTGTGGGGCTGACATGGCCCAAAGCTGGTCTGTTTTCACATGGGGGCTCAGCTGAGCAGTAATTATGGGAAATGGCATCCTGACTCCTCCTTGGAGAATGTTGTGGGGTGGTGTTCTCTATTGCCCTCACCTTTTGGCAAGTGGGGGAATTGTTTAAATATGAGATTGATGCGATACTTCTGACCTTTCAGCTGCAGTGTGATTCCCACCCTGAGAAGCCAGGAGGAAGGCACGGTGGATAAGAGCTGCTGCACTCTGCTGGACTGCCTGTGTGCCTGGGGGCAGGTGGGGCATGTTCTGGAGCTTGTGGACAACTGGCTGCTGGGAGAGTACCCCCAAACTAAGGTGTGTTCCTGTGATGTTTCTTTAAAACGTGGTGAATGAGAAGAGCTGTGTATTAGGGGTCATAGACTTTTCCAGGATATGTGTTTTAGTTATCAGTTTATCCCTCTCCTTTCTTTCAGAGCAGTGCAGCTTCTAAACGTAAAGTGCGAATCCATGATACACGCCCAGTAAAACCTGAATTAGCCTTGGTTTACATAGAATATTTGCTGACCCATCCAAAGAATAGAGAAATCCTGCTCTCTGCTCCCCAGAAGAAACTTAACAACCTTTTGAAAACACTTGGGGCGTCAAAGGTAAGTTTTACCATGGAAATTGAATGATGTTGTGTGATAGCAGGAACAGTGAAGCAAGATGCAGACTCCCTGTGTCCTCTGGTACTGTGCAGTTCTTTGGGCCAGAAAGGAACAGAGAGTTATCTCGTCTACCCTCTTCAGGGGCCGGCGGCCTGTTTTCCCAACCTTGCTCTTTCCCATGAAGACAGAATCTGGGGCTCTGGCTAAGACTGTTGGGTCCCTGGACTCAGGTGGACAGCTTTGTTCTCTGCTTTACACACGTGTCTCTTCTCTGCTCCTGCCACCCACATAGACCACCGATGACCATCTCCCTTCGATGTCCTTGGCAGTGCTTTCTAGGAAGGTTTGGAGAGTTATCAAGTGCTCTTCCTGTGCACTCAGCTGTGTCATGTCCCCATCCCTGGACCTGCTCATGCCATCATGTCCAGGGCTCCCGACAGCCTCTAGTCCCTGCTGCTGTTGTGTCTGGTTGTCTCTGAAGCAAAGCCTCATTTGAGCAGTGCCAGGCATGAGTTGGAAGGGGCACAGAGGTGGCAGGCATAGGAGGTGGACAAGGTGCTGCCCAGAGCTGGGCAGGGACTGTGGATGGTGCTCTTTAGTGGACATAAGTGTGCTTACCTGGCACCCACCCAGGGGCTCACATCCAGGTGTGGTCAGCAGAGATTGGGCTCTGCCAGAGCTGCTGTCTTTCTGGTTCACCTGCGGGTTAGTACTTCGAGTGTGCTGGCCACTGGGGTGTCCTGGTGACTTACTGGGTTTCTCCGTTACAGGCCGATCTGGAGTCGCTTCTGCAGATGCCAGGTGGGAAAGCACGTCGCTTCAGCGAGGCAGCGGCCCTGCGAGCCTTCTGTCTCCACTGCCGGCTGAGCATCCACCTGCAGCACAAGGTGCGCCTGCTTCTGTCCCCGTGGGTACGCGGCACAGCGGCAAAGCCTCTTCACTACTGATTTATCTTTTCCTTGTTGGACAGTTCTGCTCAGAAGGAAAAGTTTATTTGTCCATTTTGGAAGAGACTGGCTTGTGGTTAGAAAGCAAAGTTTTATCTTTTATTCAAGATCAAGAAGAAGAGTATCTAAAGCTTCACAGAGTTGTGTATCAGCAAATTGTTCAGGTGAGAAGGCTTCAGACACAGCTTCTCTTTACCAAGCTTGCCCTATATTTAAGGATTTCTACTGTAAAGTGGTAATTTTAGACATTAGCATTACTCTTGTAAATACTTTTAGTGGCATTTAAATAGACTTTATCTTCTTACAAAGCATAAACTGTGTAATTTTATACCTTGCACGTAATAGGTGTTTAGTCATGTTTTTGGAATTACGTAAAATCTGTTCCTAGATTTCTTATGGCAACACAAATGAAAATTAATATATCTCTGTGGAAATTCCTTTGTAAAACATCTTTGTAAATATCTTTTTTTGAGATAACTGATACATCGGGTATGAAAGGATCTGTCAGGCAGATTTGTGCCCTTTCTTAAGGTCTTTGTTGGCGAGTCACACCTATGTCTTCCAGACCTACCTGACCGTGTGCAAAGATGTGGTCATGGTCGGCCTTGGCAGCCGTCAGTTCCAGGGACAGATCTTGCGGCAGAGTCTGGTGATCATGCAGACAGGTACAGGTGCCTCATTTCCTAAAAGAGGTTTCAGAGCTGCGAACACCCAGAGCCTCTCCCCCTTACCACACAAGGCTGTGCTAGGCCCTCAACTTCTAAGAAACAGATACTTGATACACTGTTAAGTATGTGCCAGGAAGTGATTATTGGTTGATGTGGCCAGATGTGGCACCCAGCATTTCTGGTGGGGCCTTTGGGTTCTGCCTCTCCTTGCTGGTAGCTCTCCCCATGGGCGGGCCCTGACTGGCCACATGCCCCTGTGGGTGGGGAGAGGTCAGGAGTTGTTGTTGATGTCTCCCGAGGTCCCAGGGAAGGAGTGGTACAGTGTGACTTCCCCAGGGAAGGAGCAATACAGGGTAGCCCCCCTCCCTGGAAGGAGTGACACAAGTCCCCTGCCTCCCCCCAGAAAGGTTGACATGGGGTGACCCTGACAGCTGATGACATGGTTCCAGGCATGCTCCCCACCCAGCCCTGGATCAGACTTCTGAGGGAGCAGGAAGGCAGCCCCCAAGCCACCTGGGTGGGCAGTGAGCACATGATCACTTGCACAGTCTCTGGCAAAGACAAGTGCTCCTGAGCTGGGGCCCACCCCAGTCTCCTGACCCCCACCCCTGACGGCCAGCCTTCTTCCCCACCACCCCTATGGTGTAGCTGGGTGGGGTGCGGACTTGTCTCTGGGTGGTTTTTACTCAGTGTCACACTGCTGCATTTGGTTCTCACCGTAGAAGCGTAGAAGCTTCAACTCTTTTTTTATTTTTTTTTTGCAGTTTTTGGCCAGGGCTGGGTTTGAACCCTAACCTCTGGCATATGGGGCTGGCACCCTACTCCTTTGAGCCACAGGCACTGCCCTAGAAGCTTCAACTCTTTTTTTTTTTTTTTTGAAACATAGCCTCAAGCTGTCCCCCTGGGCAGAGTGCCGTGGCATTACAGCTCACAGCAACCTCCAACTCCCGGGCTCAAGCGAGTCTCCTGCCTCTGCCTCCCAAGTAGCTGGGACCACAGGCGCCCGCCACAACGCCCGGCTATTTTTTGGTTGCAGCCATCATTGTTATTTGGCGGGTCCGGGCTGGGGATTCGAACCCGCCACCTTAGGTGTACGTGGCTGGCGCCCTAGCCGGTTGAGCTATAGGCGCCGAGCCAGAAGCTTCAACTCTTGATGTTCACATTTCCTTAAGCCCAGACATTGGCTAGAAAATGGTAACACTAGTAAATTCAACATTGTGTTTTGAAAATTGGATTCAGTAAATCTGTAGTTCAGTTTTTAGTTAATTTGCCTGTAGCCTTTTGCCAGAGGCATCTTCTGTTAGAAACACCTGCAGCATCTCCTCCCCTCTCCTCATGCTGCTACAGAAGTAGAGGGGTGAGGACCCTGGAGTGGGACACTGGTCCATGTCTTAAAATTAATCTTTAATTACAAGCTGAATTTCAGGCTGGGCATGGTGACTCATGCCTGTAATCCCAGCAATCTGAGAGGCTGAGGCAGGTGGATTGCTTGAGCTCAGGAGTTCAAGACCAGCCTGAGCAAGAGTGAGACCCCATCTCCACTAAAAATGGAAAAATTAGCACGGTGCTATGGTGGGTACTTGTAGTCCCAGCTACTGGGAGGCTGAGGCAGGTGGATCACTTGAGCCCAAGAGCTTGAGCCCAAGAGCATCACAGCTCACAGCACTCTACCAAGGGCAACTGAGTGAGACTCTGTCTCAAAAAAAAGAAAGAAAGAAAGAAAAATGTGTACTGGTTTTAACTAAATTGTGGGATTAAATAACTTCTGTTTTTTTTTTTAGTGAAGGGATTTTTTTATGTTTCATTGCTTCTTGACATTCTGAAAGAGATAATTGGAAATCCCTTGGTTCAGAAAACAGATTCAGATGAAGAAGTTGCGACACTGTTTGATACAGTCCAGAAAGTGTTTCAGAAAATGCTGGAATGTATGGCATGGAGCTTTAGGAATCAGCCGGAAGATGGGCTGCAGGTACTGAGGTCTTCCTGGGGGTGGGTCGCTAGATGGGGTTGTAGGGGCTGAAGCATATGAAGACTGAGGCTGCCACGTGCAGACCCAGGGAGTTTATGCTGTTTGCTCTTGGGGTACACACAGTGGTATAGCAACTTGTTGCTAGGTGGTGTCCCTTCTGGTGTGGCCCAAGTGCTGCCCTTGATGTACCACACTCTGTGGCCAGAGAGGCCTCGAGCTCTAGCCATTTCAGATTCTGCCCATCAGAAACAGGGTTTCATGAGCTCAGGTCACAAACAGCAAGACAGGAGGCAGAGGCCCTGAGGGCTCAATTGTTACTTCACAGAATTTTCCAAATACATTTTGACAGTGTTACCTTTGATTATTTGTAGAGTGGCAGAGGCCTTGCCCAGGTGAAATGCTGACTCCAGTCATGGGTTATGCTCCCCCTGTGTGTTGAGCTTCCTATGGTTCCCTTGTGCTGTTGAAAACTAATGTGAAGTGAAATCGTGTAACCAATTCATAAAGAAAACCCACATGCCCCATTTATATAGCATCATGTCATCTCCTGAACAAAATCATATTGTTATCAGAGCAAGCTATTATTTTTTTCTAGGTAGTGGTTTAAAAATACCAATAAGCTATTATTTTTTATGACAATTTTAAAAATTGCTTAAATAGGAGGCTGTTTATGGAATATTGCAACACTTTTGGTTTTATTCTGTCTTTAGCTGAGGTAATTGAAGGTTGTTGGCTGTATTTTTTTCTAGTCTAGTTCGTTCAAATTAATTTCGTATGTTCCTGTTTTTGATGAATTGTTGACGTAACTTGTGCAAAAACCTTTAATTTTCCCCTCAAACCTTTCACGGTTGGCTGTCTGGTGCCTTGCTTGGCCTCATCAGCGCCTATACTCCCTCCCACCCTCCTCTTGATGCCTCTGCTCTGGAAGGGATTTCTTTATTCTTTTTTTCTTTTTTTGGCCCGGGCTGGGTTTACCCACCACCTCTGGCGTATGGGGCTGGCGCCCTACTCCTTTGAGGTGTCGCCCTAGAAGGCATTTCTTTGCTTTGAGAGGAGTGTCATTATGGGGTTCCCTATGGGCTTTGGCTGGGACGTTTGAAATCAGCAAGAGAGAAGGGAATACTGGAATCAGGAGGAGAGGGCAGTAGGAATACTTACTTTACATGTCTTTTTAGCTTTTTAAAAACTGATGTGCTTTCTTGTAGCTCCTGTATTCTGTCCAAACCCCTCTTTACAAATTCATCACCACCGTTCAGTCTTGGCACACAGACACTCCAGTGCACCATGGCATGCTCTCGACGCTGATTGCGGGGCCCGTGGTTGAGATAAGCCACCAGCTGCAGAAGGTGAAGCACGTTGCTCTAGAAATGACTGTGTCCCTTGACCAGACTAACAGCATAGTTTTAAGCTACTCAGAGTTTAAGAACTCAAACTTGAGTTACTGGTATGCTTTCCTATAGCCGTACCTCATGTTACCACCCTTGATAAACATAGAACTAGTCCTTAAGCTTGAATATTTATTTTGCTGCATTTTAGAGATTTAAATGGATTGATGCTTTCTTAAGAGTCTTCTGAGAAGATGAACACAGTTGTGGTTGTGGTGACAGGATGTATGGCTGCTCTTGGGCTGTACCTGTGTGTGATGGGTCACATCTTTTTGATTGTTGTATTTTTAGTCCTCCCCCTTTTGGTATCAGTTTAAACAGATTATTTATTTATTGCTGCCGACTGTCTTATTTTCGTACCTGGTAGCTGTAGATGACTGGAAGATTATTATTCGTGCAGAAATTATTGTCCTGTTTGGTTAAAGATTGTCATAACCAGGGACACAAAAAGTGATGTCTTAACAGTTGGAGACTCACTCCAGGGATGTCTCACGCCAAAGGCATAGCTGAGAGTGGCTAGGTAGCTTTCTTCACTTCTTCACAGGAGAAGATGATATCTGATAGGGAATAGCATTGTCTTTATATATAAATTATGAGTTTTATAATACAAAGTTATAACTAATAAAAAGATGTTGATAAATTCTAAAACATTAAATAGAATTTAAGGTCCTCCTTCAAGTTTGAAAAGAGAGGCATTGGTTTAGGAAAGTTATTTCTAGCTTATACATAGAATAAAAACCAGGACTTGTGTGCTTCAGTGAGATAGATAGCTAACAGTTTCAGGTCACTCATGGCCGTGGGTTAGGCCAGGCCCACCATCAGTTTCTGTTAGATAAAATCCTACTGGAACACAACTGTGCCTGTTTGCTCAACTTTCTGTGGCTGCTTTGTGCCACAACAGAAGATTCAGTTGAGTGGTTATGACAGATCATTACAACTCTACCCATAAAAGCAGAAATACTTGATTTTTTACTTAAATATCTACTCTTTTGCTACAGAAAAAGTTTGCTGACCTCTGTTCTAGTTCCTTCCAGTTTGTCTGCTTGTTCCAGCTGTGATTATGGATTTGTCTCTCTGCATTAGTCCTGTCAGTTTTCTTTCCATGGACTTGGGAGCTTTGTTGTTGGGGCCATACACTGTCTTTTTGATTTGATTGTCATACTATCGTGAAATACTTCCCTTGACACTTCCATCATGAAGTCTACTGTGACGTTTTTTGTGCCAGACCAGCTTGTTTGTACCTCGTGTTTTCACAGCATATCTTTTTCAGTCCTTTTACTTTTTATTTATTTATTATTGGGGTGGAGAAGGGGAAGAGGACCAGTGCATTTACTTTTAACCTTCCCTTTTTATTTATTTATTTTTGCGACAGAGTCTCACTATGTTGCCCTTGATAGAGTGCTGTGGCGTCACAGCTCACAGCAACCTCCAGGTCTTGGGGCTTAAGCAATTCTCTTGCCTCAGCCTCCCAAGTAGCTGGGACTACAGGCGCCTGCCACAGTGCTCAGCTATTTTTTTTGTTGGAGTTGTCATTGTTGTTTAGCTGGCCCGGGCTGGGTTCAAACCTGCCAGCCTGGGTGTATGTGGCCAGCGCCCTACCCACTGAGCTACAGGTGCCAACTTTTTTTTTTTTTTTTTGAAACAGAGTCTCATTCTATCATCCTGGGTACAGTGCTGTGTTGTCATAGGTCATAGCACTCTCAAACTCCTGGGCTCAAGTGGTCCTCCCATCTCAGCCTCCCAAGTAGCTGAGACTACAGGCGCCCATCACCACACCCAGCTAGTTTTTCTATTTTTAGTGGAGACGGGGTCTTGCTCTTACTCAGGCAGGTCTCCAACTTCTGAGGTCACGTGGTACATGGCGCCTGGCCCCCCTTTTTTATATTTTTAAAGTGTGTTTCTTATAAACATTACATGAATAAGGGTTCAAAACTCCCTTCTGGTGGTTTCTGCCCTTTTTTGGGCGTGCTCATTGCCTGTTTGGCTTTAAGAGGTTACTGGCAGGTTGGGGTTTGCACTGACGTGCAGTGTGTGCTCCATCGGTCTCTACTTTCATTTGCTACCATTTCTCGATGTGTCATCTATTTTTACTGTCCTTTTTGTCCTCACTGTTGTAGGTTTATTTCTGGTTAGGCTAACAGTCTCAAGATAGACCTTTATTATTATTCTGTTAGCCAGTCAGTAGTCTTTCTAATGGTGTAAGAAATGCACTTACATGTATTTTAATATGTAGGGTTTTTTTTGTTTTTTTTGAGACAGTCTCACTTATGTAGTCCATTTTAATGAGAAACAGTGCTGTTTCATACACAACAGTGAGTAACTTTAAAATCCAAGTCTGTCCTGGGAGACAAAGGACATGGAAGTGCTATCAAGTCGCGCCTCCCCTTAAGATAGCCAGGTATTAGGCAAAGACCGTGGTGGGGATATACACAGGTGGGGCGGGCTTATTCACATCTCAGCTGTTACTGGAAAAACAGGCACAAGCCTCCCCTCAAAATAGGCACCCTGGACGTGGACATTCCCATGTGGGACTCATTTGTTCATGGGTACAGCTTGTTGAGGACCTTTTAGCTGGTGATAAAGAGCAAAATCCAGGCAGGCACCCTTTCGGCTCCAGACCAGTGGTGGCTCTCTGCAGGATTCTGCCTCTGTCCTTCCAGGGGGAATGATATAATTCCTGAAGGTGAGGTCTGGGAATGTTTAGAGTTGTCATTGGGGGTGGGGGGGTGTGCTCTTGGCAATCAGTGGGGGGAGGTCAGGAGTGCTGCTCACCTGCTGTGTACTGTGTGGCCCACTCGGGCCAGGGTCCCATCCAGAATGAGCATTATGCTGCCTAGCAACATGGTTTATAGTAGCAGGTGACCATTAAAAGTCTACTGAAAAAAGACTATCAAGTGACGTGTCTTTTTTCTTTATTGCTATCTCTCTGAATAAGGCATACCTATTTATAATAATAGATTGTTCATAATTATTGTAGATATTTCAACAGTTAATAAATGTAATTTTTTTGTTTCTGGAAAACTTTTCTCAAGTATTGAAGAAAACTCAAAGCAATGTAAAATAAGTTATCCCAGTTTCAGTCTATAACTTATTGATTTGGGACTTTTTTCTAGGTTTCTGATACAGAAGCATTCACCCCTCCAGAGCGTCTCACTGACCTCCCACCGTTCTCAAGGTGTCTGATAGGAATAGTGATGAAGTCCTCCAGTGTGCTCAGGTAGTCACTCTCTCCTGTCAGCTGCTGCCCTCTTCCTTTCTCGCATTTTCAAATATGAGAATTTGAAAATGAAAAGGGAACGTTATTTTTTATGAGAAAAATATTGCCTAGAACTTTTATAAGTGATTGAAAATATTGATAGTGGCTGGTGTGGTGCTCATGCCTATAATTAAACACTCTGAGAGGCTGAGAAGGGTGAATCCTTGAGCCCAGGAGACTGAGGATGCTGTGAGTGAGGCTGAAGCCACAGTCCTCTAGCCTGGACAACAGAGTGAGACTCTGTCTCAAAAAACTTACACAAAGAAAAATTGTAACTTCAGTGAAGTATGTTCATGTAAATAGTTTTTGGTTACACCTGTCAGAGTAAAATTTAGTTAAGAAAAAAACGCAGTTGTTAATGTGGAACATGATAGTTCTTGGGGGCAGACACCAGTGTTGTTTCCATTAATGCACAGCCACCTATGTGTCACTAGACCACAATACCAGGTTTGTTGTGGTACGTGCAGGATTGATGCACAGTCTTTTTATTTTATTTTGTTTTAATTTTTTGAGACAGAGCCTCACTGTGTCGCCCGTGGTAACAGTGCAGTGTGTCACAGCTTAAACTCTTGGGCTCAAGTGATTCTCTTGCTGGGCCTACAGGTGCCTGCCACAATGCCTGGCTATTTTTTTGTTCTGTTCTTAGTGTTTGGCAGGTCTGGGCCAGTTTCGAACCTTCTAGCCCCAGTGCATGTGGCTGGTGCCCTTAACCACTGAGCTATAGGCACTGAGCCAGAAGGTACAGTCTTAATAGTAGATATATTCAAAGAAAACTTCTAAAAGCACCATCTGTTGTAGCTCTGAATTACCTTTCAGCACATGGAATCTTTTTCTTGTGCATCAAGGGCACATGGGGCAGCTCTTTGTACTTGTGGCTGCTCCTATTCTTCCCAGTAGTGCCACTGTCTGAACACTTATCCTGTGTGATTTGCACACTTGCAGCAAAAAGTACAGAATGAGTTCTCCAGCATCCTGAGTTACCTGAGAGCGGGGGTTTGTGGGGTGTTTTTAATGGGTCTTGGCTGCGTTTGTTTTCCTGTAAAGCATTAGGGTCTCAACTGTGCAATAATTTTAGGTGTTGATTTTTTGCAGGTCATTTTTGGATGAGTTAAGAGTGTGTGTGACTTCCAATGACATAGAAGGGATCATGTGCCTCACTGCTGTTGTGCACATTATTCTGGTTGTTAATAAAGGTTGGTTGTGTTCTCTCACCTGTCATCTGGATGGCACTGGGTACACCTCAGAGACACATTGCGGGATGTTTGGGGACAGCCCTTGCCAGGTCCAGTTCCCACCGCTCCCTGGACGTAGTGCTGCCCACCTGAGTCTCTCTTCTCAGCTCTCCCTGTACATGTGATGTAGTTCTTGTCTGCTTCCCACCTTCCGCCATTGGACTCACTGAAGCATCCCTCTCTGTGCCTCGGAGTTGAATTCTATTGAATTGTCATGTATTCTCTATATTTTAAAATCTGAATTAATTTTTGTTGATGATACACATTTTGGTGTTGATATTTAATCTGGCTGCTGGTTTTCTTTTTTTTTAAGTTTATTTACTTTTTTTTTTGGAGACAGAGCCTCAAGCTGTACCCCTGGGTAGAGTGCTGTGGCATCACAGCTCACAGCAACCTCCAACGCCTGGGCTCAAGCGAGTCTCCTCCCTCCGCCTCCCAAGTACCTGGGACCACAGGCGGCCGCCACAACACCTAGCTATTTTTTGGTTGCAGCCATCGTTGTTTGGTGGGCCTGGGCTGGATTTGAACCCGCTACTTTAGGTGTATGTGGCTGGCACCTTAGCCACTTGAGCCACAGGTGCCGAGCCAAATTTATTTACTTTTGAGACAAGTTCTCACTATGTCACCCAGACTGGAGTACAGTGGTGTCATCCCAGCTCAGTGCAGCCTCCGTCTCCTGGCCTTAAGCCACCTAACTTTGACTCCTAAAGTGCTGAGATTACAGGCATGAGCCACTGTGCCTGACTAAGAATAACACTTTTTCACTTGGTTGACTAATACTGGGCATCAGAGCAGACTTCCCTGAGGGCCCCCTGGGGGTTGGGATCACGGAGGGTGTGAGGACACAGTATGAATGCTGCTCTGTGCCTCGCACTTAGTAGGACCTTCAGTGCCCAGGATGTTTAAACTGGAGATGACCATGAAATAAGGTGGTTGTCATTTCTGGTGGGGGTGTGTGTGAGCCTGATGGCATGGACAGGGTGTGTCTCTGAAGTTCCTGGGGTGAGGTCCACATGAACTTTCCCTTTTGGCCAGTGAGGTACTTTTGTAAATATTTGAACTTTGCAACAGCTCTGTCAAGGGGTCAGTTACTACTCTGAAGAGCAACAGATGGGTCACATCAAAAGGAAGGATAAGGAAGCTCAGCTTTTAGAAATTTCACCCACGTGTGTAGGAGAGTATGTTTGTATTGTGTGTTAAAGTCTTTTTTCTGCTCAATCTTCCCAGGTAAACATGATAGTTCAAAAGTGAAGGAGGTGGCAGCTACTGTTTACAGAAAACTGAAGACCTTCATGGAAATTACTTTGGAAGAGGACAGCACCGAAAGGTAAAACGTGAGAGAGACTCTGAAAGAGATGGTCTGAAAGCTGCTGACTGCTCTTTAGGCACATGAGGTTGTGTTTTCATTTCTGCTGCTGACAGAGAACAGGATGGAAACATCACTGTCATCAGTGTTCTT